GCCGGCCATCCGGCATTCCCGATGCTGCCGATCAGCTCCGGAGCCGGCTCTTATCGCACCGGGAACTGGTTTCTCCGGTAGGAGATGGCGCCGGCTCCGGCCTTGCGCAAGGAAAAGGGGAGAATCCCGGGATGGGAAAAGGCTCCCCGGGACACTCCAAGCTCCGCGCCGCTTCCCTGAGCCCTGTGGCTCCTTTTCCAAGGTTTTAGGGATGTTATTCCCACTTTCCGGATCCGGAGAATTTGCAGGAGGCCGCTCCTGTTTCCCAAGCCTGCGATCCGCTGGCTCTGCAGTCTCTAATTAACGCTGTCCCGCTTCGTTAAGCGGATCCCGGGAGGTTTTCTTTCCAAATCCGGCAATTCCCCGGAGTCGGAGACTCCGGGATGGCTCCGCGAGCCAATTCCCCGCCTGGGAATAAAACGTGGGATTTGTTTTTACTTAACGGCCATCCTTGGAGCAGGAACGTCGTGCTCTCCCGGAATTTAATCCCTTTATTCCAATAAACCCTGAGCTCGGAGCAGGAGACTTCCGAGCTTTTCCGACTCGGCACAGGTTGGATTTTCATTCGGGAGCTCCTGCAGTTTGTTTTCCTTGGAAGCGACTGGATTTTAGCTAAGGCAGCACTCGGAACACCAACACGAGCGGGATATCTGGGAGGAGAAGGGATGAAATCCCTGGAAATCCAGGTTCTTCGGATCCGCTCCGACCCCGGCGGCCTTTCCCGGTTCCAAAACGGAGGCGGATCCAGCAAATCCGCCTCTTGCCGAGGGTGATTTGGGAATGACGTTGTCCTTGGTGGCTCCGGACACGCTGTCACCGTCGCGCTCCGAAACCGCTGGACAAGAGCCAGGAGCGGAGCCGGAAGCTCCAAGTGGAGCCTGGAGGAAGATCCCGGTTTTCCAGAGCGACTCCCACATGGATCTGCCGCTTCCCAAGCTCTGGAGCACGCGAGAATTCCCTGGGAGCGGGCGCTGGCATTGCGGAGTCCCCAGGCACCGGGAAGCTCGGGATCGGCGTTCCGGGTGGATCCCAGATCCGTGGGATCGCGGCTGCTCCGAAGGCACCAAGAGGGGGCCCTCGGCGAGCCCCAAATTCCGTCGGTTGGGATCCAAGAGCTCCGCAAAGCCGGAAAAATCCTGGTCAAGTGTCCCAGGACGCCCACTCGAACGCGGTCCTACCCGGAGCTGGCGGATCCGTCGCTCGGGAAGCGATCCGGGCTTTCCTACGCGCCCGCTCCGGAGTTTCGCCTCCCTGGGGGGATTCAGCGGTCCGTATCCTTCGGGAATGCGGCTTTGGGCAGCGCGAGGTTTCCACCGGGACAGGGGGCCGGAGAGGCATGCGAGGAATGCGGGAACGACCTGGCACGGACGGCTCCGGTTATCCCTGCGGAACGGCGCCGGCGCTCCCGGCAATCCCGGTAGGAATATGAGCTACGTTTCCATGATTAGGGAAAACAACCATTATTCCAACACTGTTTCGCCCAGTTCTTCCCCAAAAACGTTCCCAAAGTTGGTGCCGAGCGCCCCATTCCCTCCGCCTCCGGAGCGGACACGGAGCTCCGGCCTCGCACCAGCATTTTAGCCACAAAAAATATTCCTGGAAATGGGTTATTTCCAAGAATTCTGGGGGAAAACATGTGGTTTTGCCTTGAAAAATAACTAAAAAACCAGCAAATCCATGAAAGAGCCTTGAGATTTTTGCCAGAACCTGCACAAAGCATGCCAAAAAATCCAGGGATTTTTTATTTTCCTGGTTTCCTCCTGGCAGGTTCGATAAGCGTTAGCAAAATAAATCCATGGGGATATAAAGATCCCCGGGATCGGGAAAAGGGCTGGGAAGGACACCAAGGGAGCGGAGCACAAACGGGACAACGATCCTTATCTCGGCGCCTGGAAACGCGCGCGGTTCCGGAAATATTCCCTAGTTTATTCCGTTTATTTGTGCCTTTTAGGGTGGACCTACTGGGTGCTTTTTCCAGAAGAGCTTTCCAAAAAGTTCCAGGCCGGGAATACGGAGCGGGATCCGAGCTTGGCTTTGCGCGTTTCAATCCCACAGGGAATTTCGATGCCTTTCCCAAAAAACTCCCTTCCACCTGCCCTAAACAAACGCAGCAGGTTTATTCCTTCACCAGAAAAAGGGAAATTTTCCTTAAAAAGTTCCCGGGATTAGTTAATGTTTTTGCTGGCACCCGGCAGCTCATTTTTTGGCTCCTGTTCAAACTTTGTTTGGGTTTTTATTCAAAAAGCTGCTTTATTTGAGCTCCTTTCCTTCGCCTCTCCCGAGTTTAAGTTTCATTTTCCCCAAAATCCTCCCAAAAAACCCGATTAAATCCTGGCATGCGGCATATGTTCCGGAATTGGGGCGAAAACTTGGTTTTTTAAGGGATCCTGGGGGGAGATGGGGGATTCTGCAGCACAGAGGGCCCTGGCTCCTCTATTAATGTGGTGTTAAACAGCCCAAAATGCCCCAAAACAGCCAAAAATCTCTACCTCGGAGTCAATTTGAGCATTAAATCCCGGAGACACCGGGCAGGAAGAGACCTACCCTGGAAAAAACGATGGATGGAGCAGAAAAGTGAAATTCCAGGAATAAAAATAGCAGAAAAAAAAGGGGTTTTGAACAAGAACCAGAAAACCCAAGTTTTGGGGTTTTTCTTTCGGAGTTTAAGGGTGACAAGGATGATTTTCCCGATATTCCCTCCTTGTTTCCGAGCTCCCGGGCTGGTTTTCTCCGGCTGTGTCCCTAAATGCGGCGCGTTTTCCCTCGTTTCCGCGGAACGGCGGCGCTTCCCGAGCGCTTCCCGTTTTCCTACCTGCCGAAGGGGGGAATTCTGCTCCGCTCAGCCGGCCATGCCGGAAGCTCCAGGGAAGAAGACGCTGCGGGGAGGCGGGGGGAGAGGTTTCCATGAGTTTTTTCCTGACGGAGGAGCCCCAAATTCCCCCGGATTTGCCCCAAACCCCCCCCCGGCGGTTCCTTGGGGG